GAATTTTGAGGGATTTTGATGGAATTTTGGGGAATTTTGGAATTTTTGGAGGGGATTTGGGAATTTCAGGGGAAGTTTTGGAGGAATTTTGGGAGAAATTTGGGAATTTTGGGGGGAATTTGGGGAATTTTGAGGCTGATTTGGTGTAATTCGAGCTGGTTTTGGGTTGATTTTGGCTGTTTTGGGTTGATTTTGGCTGTTTTTGGCTGGTTTTGGGTTGATTTTGGCTGTTTTTGGGTTGATTTCGACTGTTTTGGGGTTGATTTCGGCTGTTTTTGGCTGGTTTTGGGTTGATTTTGGCTGTTTTTGGGTTGATTTCGACTGTTTTGGGGTTGATTTCGGCTGTTTTGGGGTTGATTTCGGCTGTTTAGGGTTGATTTTGGCTGTTTTTGGTCTCTCTCTCCCAGCTCTGGTGGCAGCAGCGCCTGCGATTCCTCAGCTCGGCCACCCGGGGGCGCCGGGCGGGGCTGAGACCCCTGCAGGAACAGGTGGGGATGGCACCAGTACAGACCAGTATAAACCAGTACAGACCAGTATAGGCCAGTATAGACCAATATAGACCGGTATAGACCAGTATAAACCAGTATAGACAAGTATAAACCAGTACAGACCAGTATAAACCAGTATAGACCAGTATAAACCAGTACAGACCAGTACGGACCAGTATAAGCCAGTACAGACCAGTATAAACCAGTACAGACCAGTACAGACCAGTATAAACTGGTAAAGACCAGTACGGTCCAGTATAAACCAGTACAGACCAGTATAAACTAGTACAGACCAGTACGGACCAGTATAAACCAGTATAAATCAGTACAGACCCATAACCCATAGTACAGACCATTATAAACCAGTACAGACCCGTAACCCATAGTACAGACCAGTATAAACCAGTACACTCCCAGTTTGTCCCAGTCTGTCCCAGTCCAGCTCCTCTCTCTCTGATTGGCCGCAGGTTCTGGGCGTGGCTCGGCTGAGCTCGGCCCCGCCCCCGCTGGAGGGGGAGGGGCAGCGGCGCCGCAGCCTCGTACTGGGAGCACTGGGAGCACTGGGAGAGCCTCTCCCCCCACCCGGGACCCCTCCCCCCCTGCAGAGA